ATTCTACTCAATGCCCAGTATTGTAACCAAGGTAGCAAAAGGTAATCACAGACTCTATGGTCTATCAGTCTATAATTTTTTAATTGTGCATAAATAACACATTAGAAGTACCAACTTGTTTTGAAGGTTTTTCTTTCCTTTTTTAAAATAATGGGTCAACTTATTTCCTAGTGCAGTTTTCTACATATTTTTGGAATTGTATCAAAAATTAGGCCTAGAGTTCTTGCTTAAGGCCTGATAGCTGAAAGGGAACATTTTCATTAAAGCATCCTTTTTTATAGAAAGTAATATGACTTTTTCTAGATAAATGACAGTTTATATCCTACAAGTTAATGTTGGTTATATGGAAAAAGTTTTCCAAAATAGCTAACTTATTAAAATCAATAATAACCTCTGAGTTTCTAGTGGGGAATAAATATGGCAATACATACAAGTAATGTGAATAGTCCTAGTGTTCAGAATTTGCTTACTCAGTGTTAAATATTGTTGCTGTTCTTTTAACACAGTGCTCCAGATGGACCATCAAGACCAAGGAGTCATCACAATTATAACCCTGTCCTCTCTGGAATGTTATTATATTACTAGACATGAATTCAGTGAACCAGAGGAGGATAAGAGCTACTTCCAGAAACTTCTCTGACAACTATCTTTCCTGAGCCTATGAAAATGCTGAGCACCAGTCTTGCTTGAGGTAAACCCTTGTACTCTTCATGACGACAAAAATCAAATAATGGAGAAACGGTGGCTTTGATGGTTTTTAAAATAGTCCTAAAACTGAAAAAAAAATGCTCTATTTCTGCAGACCATCTCTAGATGAAGATCAAATGTTAAACAAATGATAAAATTTATAAACTAACAACCAAATGTCAAATTTTAAAAGGCTAGATTGTATCATAACATGATACATTTAGTCCTTATAAATTGTGTAAGTAGTCACATCCATAATTATTACATTTCAAAAAGGCAAATTTGGGTATTTTTGCTTTGGCATTATACTTTTTATAGATAAAATTAAGTCTTTAGAGGCCAGACTTGGTGGCTTATGCCTTTAACCCCATCACTCAGGAGGCAAAGACAGGTGGATTTCTGTGAGACAGAAGGAAGCCTGGTTTATAGAGTGAGTGTTAGGCTAGCTGGGGCTACAGGGAGATTCTGTCTCAAAAAAAAATTAAATCTTAATAAGTTAAACTAGTTTTTTCTAGTTGCTTTAGTAGTATAATTTTTATTGAAATTTCACAAATTTCATACAATATATTGTGATTATCTTATACATTTAAAAGAGAAAAAGTCAGAATCCTTTGTTATTAGCTTTGCAGCAAACACTTGATCTATAACACTAATCAAAAATCATGCATTATAATGCTAATTTTAAGTAATATCATAAAGTAGGCATAACAATAATTTTTAAATTATCAAAGGAAACATAATAATGATGATTTCCTTGCTTAGCTTTTAAAATTTTAAGTACATTTAAGTAGAAAAATGCATGTAAAAGCTCTGTGAAAAATGCAAATTATTCTGCCAACACATTTTTGTCTTAAAAATGTTATAATGCTCTAGGTATAACCACATTAACTAGCGATATGCTTGTATATATATAAACAGAAGCTATGTATTTCATTTAAATTCTTAAAAAGGAGCCACCAAGAGTGCAGTGCTTGCTACAATTTTCTTCGTTTATCTTATTTTTCTCTAATTACTTTAAATTTGGACAAGAGGAAATTAAAATTATGGAAACTGCAACAGAATATTTCACTAGAACTTATTTACATAGTTTGAAGAGAAGATAAAGGAATGATAACTTTCTAAAATTTAGTCCCATAACAATAAATTAACAAAAGTAAACAACTTTAATTTTCTGCATTATGGATTCACACTAAGAGACTTTAGAACTATTCTGTAGCTAAGAGCAAGGAGTAGTTCAAATCCAGCCCTGTGAACTGGATCATACAAGTTATGTGTTACAGTACCTTTGTAGTTTGTTTTGCATGTGACGAAAGTGACAAATTTTTATTTATTTTTATTTTATGGGTATAAGTGTTATGCCTACAAGTATGGAAATGTACCCATGTTGTACAATGTCCATGGAGTTGCCAAAGATTGTTTAGTGGCTATGTGGATGCAAGACCAACCAGCACTCTTAACAGTTGAGCCATCTCACCAGCCCTGGATTTCCCCTTTACACAATAGCTGAATGATTTTCAAACTTTGATGTATTTAAAAATAACCCAAAAAGCTTCTAATCAAAGCATTTTCCAAAGGAGTTTGAAAGAGCTTCTAAGCAATGCATATTTCTAGACAACAACTAGATACTGGGCTTTCAGACTTCCAAATTAACTTCTCCTGAGCATTGTCTTCTTGTTATCAGTGGGAGGAGCAGAAAATTCAGCCTCCTATACCTAAAGACCCACAATCTAGGCAAGCTAGGGACCTTAAGTGATTCATGGGCTTGCCACTCTACAAAGCCCATTTGGCCACCAGGTGACTGGACTCTGTTTCCTGACGCTATGACCCATCACCTTGATAATATTGTGCATCCTCCAATATTCAGTCGTCTATGGTATAAATTTAAAAAATACAACATAACTTGGTTCAGATATCCAATTTCAACCAACTTTCTAAATAAATGCTACCAGGTAGTAAAAATATTTTGAAAGATCATTTAAATAACGAGCTCTATACAGCTGAAATCTTTGAAAAACAAGTAGTAATACTTTATGAAAGGACAGCAACGCTGAGGACATAACAGAGATAGAAGCAAGGTGGTTTCCGGGGATTTTAAATGGTCTTGTTTATCTAGGACTTCCCCTCAAGTTTCAAGTTGAGAGCACTAAGATTTTATAACCTAAAACAGGAAGAAAGGGCTGTTTCTTCAATCACAGTTCCTTGTTCAGCAAGATTGGCCATGCAATGAAACCTTAATCAGATAGCCAAGGCCCTGACTGCTTGCCTGAAATGAATTCTAAGTTATGGTTACATGCAGTCATGTTTGCTGCTTGCTCTGATATGAAGAATACAGGTCCAGGGAAAGTCACACCTGGTTGTGGATGTGGGCTTAACTGAACAATTAACTTCCAGTTCTAGCCTCTAGAGCTTCTCTGCTACTTCACTATGGGAAACCTGTGAAATCCTACACGCCTCGGTCATCCTAAAACAAGACATAGATAGGGTATCCTTGACATGTGCGTACTTTATCCAGTTCCAAGAAACCAAATCTGTTCTCTACGTAATGCTGCAGTCTTGTTTCACTTATTTCACAGAGCAACTGTTCTCACAGTGATTTGAATGAAGCCCCTTTGAAGAGTGCCACCAGAAGCCCAGTTCTAAGTGTCAAAGCACTTGGAGAGATCAGGAAACACTCATTTCATGATGATGGAGGGGTGGTAAAAATAAAGACAATGCTCAAAATTTGGGATTACCTGCAGTATGCTGCTTACTAAAATTAAGAAAATACTGACAAACTTTGCCAGATTTCCTTTACTGCTCACTTGTGGATTTATGGTACTATCAGAGTAAAGAGAATATTTTTTTCCTTGTAGGTTTTGAAGATTCAAGATATTTGTTTAAAAATTATGTTTTAATGAGATATAAATAAGTAAATTCAGATCAAAGTACTAAAACTAGTATAGCAGTTTTACAAACCTCCGAATCATAAAGCAATAAAAATAACAGCAAGCTGAGTTAACCAGGTGAAATGTGCACATCATAAAAATTAATTTTCAGGAAAACTTTGTTCTACACCTTTTCCAGAATGTTTATATTGGGTAAAATTCATTCCAATAGCTCAATAGTCACAACTCTAGAGACGCGTGAAGAATGCAAGAATGTTCCCTATCCAGTAAAACCTTGCCTCTGTTCTTAACTGTTCACTCTTAATTAAAACTAAACTTGTTTCTTTAAATTCTTGTGATTTGATCTTTTCAGATATTTTCTTTGAAGTGAAATATATCAGAATGGATTTTGGAGAAATACTTTCTTTCTACCACTCCGGCACCCTATAGAATATTGAAGCATTGAATAATTTGTTATGAAAGGTCATTTTACTTAAATATCAAGAACTATGCAAGGTAGAATTCCAATCAAATATTGGTTTGCTACTTTAATGACTGTCATTATAAATTCTATTCCTGAAATTAAAAAAAAATTTTTGGTCTTTTTGAGACAGGGTCTCCCTGTAGCCCCAGCTGTCCTGGAACTCACTGTGTAGACTAGGCTGGCCTTGAACTCATAGAGATCTGCCTGCCTCTGCCTCCCTATTGCTGGGAATAATTTTTTTTATAAAAAACATCCTGTCAGGGTGTCTGGATGATTTCAAATGCTTTCCTGAACAGTGAATCACCATCAAAGTCACCCAGGTCTAAATAACATGAACCTACGTTAGTGTGCAGGAGCCATCACATTTTAAGAGATGTTTACTGTAAAGTCTTGGTCTCAGCCTGTACTTTTATAGAAGAGCATTTTCAATTACTTCCCTACACTTATTAAGAAAAATTAATGGAGAAATGGATTTCAGAAAATAAACTCCAGCTTTCTTGAGGATGAGAGGATGTCCTCACAGTCTTTATAATTTTACCATTGATTCTGATTCCACTGAACACTAGCACTCGGCCTGTTCTATTTACATATCTATATAAATGATGAAGAATGCTGATTTAAGGATGATAGACCAGTAAGAAATTAACTTTTAAATTTTGCTGAAATGTGTCGAACACTATAGTCTCTTCTTTCTTTGTTTAGAAGTAGAGCAGTGTGTTTCTCCTCACACATCAGCGATCATTTTACATGTTAGAAATTTAGCTTTGAGAAGTCAGTCTAGTTTGCCAAGAATAATGAGCCTATTTTCAGATAGTGGCTGCACAGACAATGTCTCAGATGGAGAGTGTCACTTGAACTTTAGAGGAGTTGTAAATAAGAGAGGCCTACTCTACCCTAGAGAACTGAGGGATGTTGAGAAGGTGAGTCAGGAACAAAGCTCAGAGCAGGAAAGTGTGATGACTTACCTGTAATACCTTGGTCAAATTGTTAAACAGTGCTTGGCCAGCACTCACTTTGTATTTGACGCCTCTGACTGTGCCATTTTTGCTTAAAATGTTGACTCTTCTTGTACCAAAAGCCTTCTCACTGGCTGCCCTTGCTAATACCAACAAATTATCCTGATCTTTCTCATGCTGATCACCTTCCAATCCAATGTGGCCATTTTGCTGTCCCTCAGAGTCACTTAGTCCATCTATCCCACAGACACTGGCACATTCAGAATCCAGAGAGCCAGATGGTTGTCCATCTTCATAGACCTCCTTCAGAACTCTGCCACTATGAGATGATGCAATCCGAAACCGGACTTTCCGTGGTCTGTCACTGTCTGGCTTTGTCTCCCTTTTTAGCATGGTCACCTCCACACACATGAACAGTTTACATCATTCTGGATCTGCTGTTAATGTATCAGTTCCTCCCCTTGCCACATAGCACCAGTAGAGCCGAGTTCCAGAGACAGTAGCCCTCCTGTGACACTAACAGCTAAAGAAAAGAGGATGCTCAAGAACATGCAGGGAGCCTCTGCTCTCAATAATGGATGTGCGCCTGTGCTATGGTTACCATTAAACTAAAACCTGCAAAATGATCCCAGTCTTTAAATATTAAACATCCATGGTGGACTCCTTAACAGGACGAGTGCAAGTAAGTGACATGTCATGGAACAGAAAAATAAGTATGTGGCAAGGGAATAAAAGGCTTGAAGATCAAAGCTCCTGATGAGTGTTGAAAGGATCTGAACAACTGAGACAATTCTACAATTTACTGTCCACGGAGTAGAGGTCTAAATAAAATATGGAATCAAATATTTAGGACACAAGGTGTCAGAGTTTTCACTGGGTGCTAATTTCTTCTTCCGTTCCCTGCAGGTGATCTGTCAAAAGGACAGTGAGCATACTCCATGCCTACACACAGATATGAGTGTTAATTCTAAAAAAAATCCAATTAGACTTCATCACCATTGTGTAGTGTAAATTTCCTACCTATATCTTCATATTCAAGGAGTTTTGCTAAAGAAAAGCTTTTGAGCACACTATGAGAAGGGAAAACTTCTGGTTGTTTGTGTTCCTACTTCTAGTAGGGAGTATTCTTTTTGATAAGGTGAAGGTTTTGGAAAGGCGATGAAGAACAATGAGGGAAGGATGGAAAATCCTCCAAGCCAGCCAGATCAGCCACAGCAATCCAGGCGGTTGGCACTGATAGATACTACATCCAATCACCCCTGCATAAAGGCCTCTGTGCTTCCTCAGTGTATTTTCTATCACTTTGGCAAGCTCCCAAGGAACTTTATAAGTTGTAAGCTTATTTAGAAAATTTATAAAATACTCAATAACAAAAATTGAACATAAAAGTTATATTCTCACTCTTCACATTTCTAATTCTGTGAATTTCTCCCAGTGTGTATGTCAAAAGTCATCTGATGCTTATAAAACTACGTTGCTGAACTTCTTGCATTTAAGGACGGAAGAAACCAGTGCCCAGCTTTAACCAATGAAATAAAAGGAAAAGTGATATGTCATTTATGGACCAAGGCAGTTCAGATAAAGAGTGTCCTGTCTGTGCTACTTCTCGTTTTCCTATTTTCAAACTTGATAATCACTGCGAAATCGTAAAGATACATAACAAGCTTATCAGAGTCACAGAGAACTTCACAACCATCACCACTTCTCTGCATATAATTACATAAGGAGGAAAATATGATTCATTACTGTATTAGGCAAATTAAAAAAATCCTACTTCCCTTATTAACTACTCAGCTTTTTCGCTTGACAATATGCAGTATTTTTCTTTTCCATTATTTCTGAAAAATATTTAATTTAACTAAGGTAATAGCCATGCCTTCCCCATTCATTGCCATATATTCTGAAAAATCTAGATATTGAATTTCTCTTGTATCACAATAGTACTTTCTCAATAAAGTTCTCTTGCATACTTAATGTGAGCTAGTCTGGAGTCTACTAGACTCTAAGTTCTTCCTTGAAAGAGAGATTACTCAAGAGTAGCATCACTTAAAATATTTTATAAAATATCATGTATACATGTGCATACATAGAGAGTATATAGACTTTTCATGTGTGTGTTTAAACTATTCAAAAATTTCTAGTCATTCTAAGGAATTATCTCTGTCCCTCAAAAGTAATTCTCACACTAACATCCCTAATATATAAAACTATATGCCTGATATGTAATATACTCCTGAAAACTATAATTCATACAGCTATCTTAAGCTAAAATGAATTAAATCTTTGTACTTTTATATGCAGTCAGACAAAAAGTATTTCTTGAGATGTCTTAAATACCACTTAGAGACAAAACATAGCAAAGGTGTGTAAAACAAAGATTTACAAAATTATAATGTATTTTCCTTGTTAACATAAAAGTTGAGCAAAATATCTCTAGTTAACTTCATATGTTTCTCTGCATATGAACTTCTTTCCCTTGAAATAGTTGAATGTTTTGCTAGCAATGTCATTCTCTACACCTACAACCTCATGCTGTTTAAAACTGGTTCCTGGCCACTCCATCAGTATAGCAACTTCCCACTATTTCATTCATGACCTCTTTTCAAGGGTCTGCTTATTCCTCCTTATATTCTAAGCTCTTTGCCAGATTTACTTCTCCCTTTACCATGAATTCCTTTTACTTCCATTATGTATACACTTATAGTTATTATTTAGAATTACTTATTGAGTACCTACCAGAGAATGTCTGGGGCCACCACACCAAAATCTATAGGATACAAGGAAGACAGTCCAAAGGGGAAAGTTTAAATCTCTACACGGCTACATAAAAAATTTTTGAAAGATCTCAAATTAATAACTGAATGATGTACCTTAAGGTCTTGGAAAAACAAGAAGAAACCAAAACCAAAAACAATAGTCAAGAAGAGCTCATCAAAATCAGGGCTGAAATGAATGAAACAGACATAACAACAATAACAAAAGAGAATCAATGAAACAAGGATCTGATTCTCCTTTTAAATGTTTTTATTTATTTATTTATTTATCATTTATTTTGTGTATGAGTATTATGCGTGTGTGTGTGTGTGTGTGTGTGTGTGTGTGTGTGTGTGTACATACAGCCAAGTTGTACATTGCCCCTGCAGGACAGAAAAGAGTGTCAGATCCCCTGGAACTGGAGTTAAGGACAGTTGTAGGCACCATATGGGCGCTGGAATTTGAACCCTAGTCTTCTACAAGAGCAGCCAGTGCCCTTAACTACTGTGCCGTCTCTACAGCCCCCATGTTCTATGATATGTAAATATTTCTCCCATTCTGTGGGTTGTTTCTTCACTCTGTTGATTATTTTCTTTGCTTTGCAGAAGATATAATCTCATTGGTATTTTCATTTGACTGTAGTTTTAAGATCTTACCCCAAAATCCCCTATCCAGTCCCATGTCATGGAACTTTTCCTCTGTTTTCTTCTGGTTTTTAGTTTTGGATCTTATATACTGATCCATTTTGGGTCGATTTTTGCATGTGGTGAGACCTACGGACTAAATATCTTTCTTCTGTATGTGGATACTCACTTTTCCAAGAACCATTTACTAAAGGTTTCTGGGGGACAAAAGACATTAATGGTCTTATCCAGCACTGGATCCTACTTGCTCCAATATCAACCTATCAAGCAAGATGTGCTCACTGGTGTGAAAGTGGCAAGACTGTGAGGGTTTATCCAGCACTGGATCCTACTTGCTCCATTATCAACCTATCAAGCAAAATGTGCTCACTGGCATGACAGTGGCAAGACTGTGAGGGCAACCAACTGCTCTCTTGTTTGGAACTGAGCCCTGCTCTACCAGAGGGAATTCATGTCTGGTACTGTAAACATGGTCAAAACTCATGGCAAGGGGAATCATAGACCCTAAAAGAGAGCCTATAGAAGTTATTTTTCTAAGTAGTTATATTGTCAAACTGCTTTTGAATTATTTATGTTTATATCCACAGATTTGAGCTCTTCCCGGCCTTGGTCAGAAAAGCCTCTCATTGCAATGTGTTTTAGAGACACATTACTGTTCAAATTGTTGATAATAAGCAATTGTGAGGGCTCAGCCATAGATAGGGCATGTATATCAACCCTTCACACCTGCCAAGACTCAGAAAACATTGTGGAAGAGGGGGCAGAAAGAATGTAGGAACCAGAGGACAGGGAATAGTACTGTGAAATGCTATCTTCTGTGCACAGCATGGCTTTTGCATACATGAACTCACACACATAGATACCTGCTCAAGAAATGACAAGATCATTGTCACATCCCTAGCTGAGGAGATATTGGCAGTTGATGGCTACTGGAGAAGGGAGAGTCACTTTTCTTTAGGAGTGTGTCCATTGGCAGGTTCCCCATGCCCCAGTGGATGACTCCATAACCATGAACATATGGACATCACTAATTAGACTCAATGGATTAAAAATATTATAAAAGGAGGACATGAATTTGGGAGGGAGACAAGACAGGACAATGGTCTTAGAGGAAGGAGATGAAGGTGAATATGATCAACACATGCATACATGCATGATATTTTCAAATATAAATTAAAATTTAAAAAGAAATAATCAATTAATGAAATTACATTGGTACCAAAAACAAATTATATTGCCATGTAGTGAAAAAGGTCAAATAGAATGAAAACCAAAGCATTCAGGACCCTAAGTCAAGAAATTAAGAATGTGTGTCAGAAGGAGGAGGAGGGGGGGGGGAAGAAAAGAATTAAATACTGAGACAGACCCAGAGATGCTCAAGGAATGCCACTATACATTATAAAGATCAGTCCTTAACCTGGAGATTTTGTCAAAATTATAAAACAGTGAGAGTCACATATTAAAAAGGTACCTAGGGGGCTGGAGATATAAATCAGTGGTGGAATGGTTCCCTGCTTGTGTGAGGCCCTGAATTTGGTCTCTAAACCATTAAAAAATACATAGAGAAAAAAAAAACAGAAGAAAAGGACTAGCAAGATGGCTCAGGACATAAGGGCACTTGCTGCCAAACCTGAAGATAGGAGTTCGAGCCTCAGAGACCCATATGGTGAAAGGAGGAAGCAACTCAGACAAGTTGTCTTCTGATTTCCACATGCACATCATGGTGTAAATAAATAAATGTAAGAAAAGAGAAATGCCAGCTTAGGAGACTGCTATACTTTGGATCTCAAAGTTCCATATCTCACACACTTGGTCCCATAGTGACACTTCTGAAAAGTGGTAGGAAGTTGAACATGTGGGCTCAGCACAAGATCTTCAGATCAGTAGGGGCATGCCCTTGAGATGATGAGTTCCTAGGATCTCCTCTCTAGCACTTCTTTGATCTGCTCCAAAATGATGTATTGTCTTACCACAGGCCCAAAAGCAATGAAGCCAAACAATGAGGAGCCAAATAAACCTTTTCTCTTTACAAGCTGGTTATCTCCAGTGTTATTATAACAGAAAGCTAACA